CAACTGACAAAATGCGCTAAAAAACTAAATTATGCGACCTTTGATGTAAAAAAATTTCGAACGTGCTAGAAAGGATTAAAAGTTTTTGTAAAAATAATTACTTTGGTCTTTCCTCTTAATAACATTTTGGCGATAAAACTTTGTTTTTAAGTTTGGGGCCTTTTTTCATCATTATCTGTAATGAGGTGTTATGTACACTATAGTATTTACATTATTCGGACTATTGTCCTCATCTTTGTCGCCATATTACAACGTTTCAGGCAGTTGGAATGTCGAACTGAACCCTTTATTTCGCTCACTGGAATACTGTTCTAATCACACGTGCCATGTTTAATGGATATCAGTTATCTCCTGTTGTTAATTCTCCTCTCCAAGTTCCCCACTGCCTTAACCGGATATTGAACTCACACTCTTTGGGTCCTGTCACTGGATCTAACCAACTGTGCCATGTGTCCTTAAGGACATCGGTGTATGAATTTCTGGGTATTATAGACCTAATGTCTTCAGCAACCATTTTTTACCAGTGCTCATATTGCAATTTTTGCTTTTTATCACTTTTCTCTGGCATTCCTTACTACTGGTACCTATATTGTATTCATTTCTATGCTTGGTCGGCTCGGGAGATTTTTGTGGCCTAGCACATGTGCTGATTCCTTAAGTTTACGAATTTTCCAATGGTGTTCTTTGTCTATGATTTCAACCTGATCCCACCGAGGGCGATGATCCCCCTTTTCTCTCTTTTTTTCCATTATGCTATGCTGTTTTTTTTTTATTGTTTGTTTATTGAATATATATCTTTTGCATTATTTTACTAGTATTTTATTTTATAATTCTCCATTACTTAAAATATTTTGACAAGATGCATCACAATATATGGTAAATATCAAATGAATTTTAATTCTAGTAGCTTTATTTACAGTAATGGTGTGTGGTTTTTCTCACTATTTTTGCGGGTAGCTTTGTATAAAATAAAAAAGAAGCAAGACCATTTATTTGCTATATGTCCAGGATAACTCCCAATATTCCAATATTTGACTACGGTAGGCCTACTAGTATTGATCAGAATCTGGGGTCGTATTATGCACAAGCTATATGAAAAATATCAGGTTTTGTAATTAAATAGAATTCAAGAGGCGCACTATACATGAAGTAAGGCTTATACACGAGTAGGGTATTCAATTCAGTTTTTGAAAGAGAAATAAATCTGTGAGACGAGTTCGAATTAGGTTCACTTTTCTCTCCCTAGCTATGGGCTAAACAGCAGGGTCGACTGGTTTCTCTTGACTTGAGTTTAGCAACCAGCCTAGGAGAAGGGGTACTGTATTTAAAAACTAGTGTAAGGACGGGTAGACACACAACTACTGCTATGACTGCGGGACATTGGTGCCTCTACCTACACAGTTTACAATCCAGAAGATAAAACTTTTCTTTAGAAAGAGCAATATTTTCTGTTGAAACCGTAAAGTTCAACGCAAATATACAGACTGATTCATAATCTGCCAGTGAGACAGTATTTTCCTTTCTTTCTTTATTGCTTTTTTATTTATTTTATTAAAAAAAAAAAAAAAAAGAAAAAAAAATACTTTCCGAAGAGAATGGAACAAGTGTAATGCATTTCATTAAGTCATTTGCTCAACGCAATTTTTCTCCTCATTTTTCAAGTTGTGGAGAACGTGAAACCAACATGACGTCATACATACAACATTCTCTTTAGCAGACTGACAATAACAAGACATTTTTGTCATTCGTGTATTAACTTAAGGGTGTTCTGTCAGTGTAACGGATATTTAGCCAGAAAGTAGAATCGAGTTCAAGTTCGAGGCTAAACTGTTAAGTTCACTTCTGGAGAAATAGGGAAGGAATGTCTCTTCTCCCTCCAGGTATGGGTTATTGCGAACTGGTTTCTCTAGTAACAATGAGTCTAGAAGGACGACTCTGAATTCAAAACCAGCCTGAGGAAGAATGAGCTTTGTCAGCCTTATACCCGAGACACATTCACTGCTTTTATGGTTGCAATACATGTGATGAACCTACAGTTCTACTTGGACATGGTACTCATGAGATTGAGTTAAATTTCACACTCCTTCCCGGACGTTTTGGGTCTTTTCTCGGTGAATTCGCCTGGGGACGGATTCCCTAGAGAAAGGTTTAGCTAGGCTGGCTCTGGAGCATGAGGCTAGCAAGCGCTACCATGGTCAGATAGACATCTCGTTTAACCTATGTCTAACGAAGCTGTGAATATGGGCAGAGAATTGCGCAAGGAAGAAATCCGTCCAGGTTCCGATAGATACATTCGGGAGGTCGATACCCCAGAGGGACAAAGTCTGAGGTCGACCAAAGACATATGCGAGGCGTTTCGGCGGCATATCAAAAGCCGTTTTACCAAGGAGCCTGGTCTCTGTGGCGAAGAGTTTCGTAGCTATTTGGCTGACTTTTCTCGGCTAACTATGAGGGTGTGATCACAGGGCAAAGTTTTCTTAGCATTGAAGAGGGTCGGCAGGGGCAAGTCTCCGGGACTTGGTCTGCCCTACAAATTGTACTTGAGGCTGTCGCACATCATTGTTCCGATTTTGACTGTCTTGTTCAACAACTGTTTCCAGCAGGGAGACGTCCCCAACCGGATCTTCAAGGGTGTGATTACGCTGTTGAAAAAGGATAAGCATGGTCGGCGGGATTTAGATGATTATAGGCTTATAACTCTGCTAAACACAGTTTAAGATTTTGGCCAAGATCCTGACGGAGTATTTGCAGTCAGTTTGTTGGGACCCGAGCAGACTTGTGCTGTGAAGGGACGAACAATTCAGAGCAACCTGCACTTGATCCGCACGATCCTAGAGGGTGTAAAAGGCGATGATCAAGCCTCGCTGAGCAGTTTGGATCAGTCAAAGGCGTTTGAAAGGGTCGACCATCAGTACCTGGCTGCTGTCCTGCGGGTCACCGGATTCAAACCCGACTTCTGAAAGTGGATCAGTCTTCTGTATCGCTCCTCCAGTGCTTTGGTGAAGGTGAACGGAAAGCGACCGCGCGCTTTTGTGCTGTCACAGTAACTCCGACAGGGTTGTCCACAGTCACCGCTACTTTATGCTTTGGCGTTTGAACACCCACTTCGCCGGCTAAAAGACAGGACGTGCAGTCCAGACCTACGTGGAATCGCTGTCTTTGGAGGTTCTCGATCCATTTTCGTGTCGTTGCGGTACTGTACGAAGATGGATACATCAGTTCTTATCGATTCCGAACATTTTGTGTCTATCGATCTCGCATACGCGTGCGTGCGATAATGTGTTGCCTCCGTTCTCTGGGATGAAACGAATAGTGTTTCTGATATTTCTCGCCGTGGCAAGAATGGTGGTGTGAACGTCGCGAATGAAGGGAATATTGTGATACGCTGTTCTCATCTGGATCTGGTTGGATACTTTGGCCATCAGCTCAAGATGAAGAGCAGAACTGATAGAAAGCATTTGTTTTTGACAGATTTCAGCGAAAGGTGCGTAAAAGTGGCGAGCTTGGTGAGAGTAAACACGGCCAACCTTGATTTTTTTTTTTTTTTTTTTTTTTTTTAAGTCCCCTTGGACGAAAGGGGTCGGTTTCCTGTAACCCCTTCCTTGGTTAAGATAGATTCTATTTGTTTATCTTAGTTAATATATGTAAGTATTGTTCCCGAGCTTTTACTTTTGTTATGATCCGTCGAGATTCTCAACCTCTACAGTTTGGTTTTGTCCCAGTTTTTTTTTTTTTTTTTGTATCTCGACTGGGTCAGTCTTAGATTTCCCCACTCTTTCATTTAAATTTTTTGCATACTTCCCTCTCCGTTAGTGAGTGAGCTGCTTGATTCTGCCTAAAGGTAGAATACAGTGGCCATTATTATTTTTGTTGGGTGGACGGGCCCTACTTCGTTTGAATGTTTTTTTTTTTTTGTTATATTTTAGTTTCGTTTTCGGGTTCATCACCTCCCCACTTATTTCATTATTCATTAAATCTTTATATATTTTTGCAAGAAAAAGTTAAAAAAAAAAGACATTTGAACGTTTGATATTTTTGGCATGGTGTTTTGTAGGTTCCCCTTGAAGATGTGGTGGTATTGTTGTATATGTAGGATTGGATGGTGATGGATGACTTCTTGTGGTGAATGAGCAAATTGTAATGAATGAATGAATTGTGAATCTGATTAGCTAGGTCTAGGATAGTTAATGTTGACCAGCTTTTCCCCACTGCCCCACTTTGGTCATATGCCACAATTGTTGTAAAAAGGGCAAAAATGAATCTTTCTCCCCAGAAATTTTGAAGAAGAGTAGAGGTTTATCCCTTGTTTCCTGTTTCTTCTGAAGTCTACTTTAACTCTATCTAACGTTCTGTATGAACTATGGAATTTTATTTACTTTATATATATATATATATATATATATATATATATACACACACATTCTCCTCAATATTAGATGAGTTTGAAGTAAATACCTATAATTACCATTTCATTGTGTCGTAGTAATTGTTAAGTTAGCATCAAAGACCATTACTCCTGTAGTGAGTTCGGTCCTTACTGGATGTCTTATTGATATTGTTTTCTATCATACAGATGTAAAAGGAAAACACTTCATGAACCTGAGTATATGAAGAAATAGTCAACAAGCATCATCTTGGAATAATGTAGTGAGTATGAATTTTACTGGGTTTTCATCCCCTTGGCCTTCTGCCAGACTAAGCTAAGCTGAGTAAATACCTATTCGAATGTCCTTGAGATTGGCTACTTCGTGGTGTACAAAAAAGAACAGGAAATATGAAAGTCTTTAAAGAATAAAATCAATTGGGAACGACTCTGAAATTACTCTTGTTTGTATTTATAAAATCTAAATTCTGATCTACAGTGACAGCAAAGAATATTTTAATTCTGCCTAAAATATAGAACAACGATTCAATGAATTTTTAGTGTTAAGTATTTTGTTTTATTTATTCAATATTTAATTTCAATTTCATTGTTTCTTTCATTCTTTGCCTTTGGCGGCTTACGTCCATACCACGTTGAAACATTGTTTCCCGTACGATCAACGAAGTTAAGCAACATCGCACCTAGTCAGTACCTAGATGGGTGACCACGTGGATGATGAGTGGCCAGGTGCTGTAATATTGTATTTGCGAGTGATGTAATGGACAGTGGCTCCGAATTGTTAATTGGAGAGCCAAGTTCCAATTTCAGTTGGATTTGTTATATTCACTTACGCGTAAATACTCTTGGGAAAGGTATGAATCGACTTCTTCTTCCCCAGCTATGGGTTAATTAGTAATACTTGTATCTCTAAACCATTATCTCTCAAAAACAATTCTTACAATCTAAAAATATTTTCTTGTTTTAAATAACCTGCAAAGGGTTGATAAGCCCTAGAAAACGAATCCCTCAATAAATGTACTTTTGGTGATCACAATGATTCTAGAGCGTTGTAGCAGAAAAACACAATTTACACATAGAGATAACAATTTAAAGCCAAATTTGTACAATTATTAGAAAACATATCTCTAACTACACAGAAATTTTCGTCTAGCTAAGTCATACACACGCCGAACTTTACGCAAAACAATAAAACAAACACAAATATACCAGAGTGCTGGCCATTATCAACGCGACACTTGCTTACCACAGATGTCTACAACTACGTCCGTGCATTTCCCTTATATAGGCTATAAGAGAAGCCAGAGATAGACACTTCACACACATACCCGCGCGCGCTAACCATAGAGGCTACTCTGAGCACGGCTGACTGCCCATCCGATCATTAGGCTGTGAAAACGACCTCCTGTGAATACAGAAAGAGAATATACTCTACTATCGACGCCTCAAGACGTAACCTATAACAAACAAGTATTCAGTCGCATTAAGCATACTCCGTTTTCACGCTCCCATTCCATCTCTCGTACACAAACTATACTCGGGATCAACTGGTGACCACGCAAATGAACACAACTGTAAAAATGGAAGAAGCACCATTGTCAGTTTCAAACATATCTACGGAACAAAATTAAGCAAGACTAAACATCATTCATTTACCTCCTCTTAACAGACGAAACCCTCTAATCTGGTTCAACCAAGTACAAGATTCATTGCAGATTCAAAAGATAACTTCTTTACCTACTGTACCATGCACGAGGACACGAAAAACTTTCAACAACAATAACTCACACTTGCAAATTTCAAAATACCATATATTGGATAAATTGACAACGCAATTTATAAACGTCATTACATGTTTCTTTAAAAAAGACTTTTCTAATAAAAAAAAAAAAAAAATCAATACCGATCGACAAAGCCAAATTATAAAATAGATATTTAACAAGTAGCAGCGATCCCCGAAGTTGCCATGAGAAAAATTTAAATAAGTAAAATAAATAGGAAAAAATATGTTGATAAATATCTTACATCAAACTACAAATGTAAAATTTATTTACAAACGAAAAATTCTTATTATTGATACGCAAAAGTATATGATAAGGTTTCTAAGTACGTTATAGTAATACTTCTCTCACTAGGTGTCACTATCTTCAGGAACAATCAACACAGTTGGCTATAGAAAAGTCAGGTTGAAGCTGACAATCTTAACCGTTTGGGGATGATGGTCATTAATGCTAAATACGTTGAAACATAATTAATACCGGATTTATTTATTTAAAAACCTATAATTAACACCCAATTTTACAACGGGCGCTAACGGGTTAAGAGATTGTCATTGTACCTTGTGGATGGTCATGGAAAAGCTTTAATGGGAATTGAGGACACATGAATTCGAAGGGCAATCTTTGGAATTTCGCATATCCTAGTAATGAACATTTTCTCCTTTTTTTTGCCTTCCCCATTTACCAGAGTTACCTTGATGGGATGCACGCGAAGCTGCTTGACAGTGAGGCGAGGTCCATTGTACAATTTTGGATGGTTGAGATTTCTGAGAAACATGATAGGGATTCTGAACGTTTAGTCGAATCCTGTGGGGAGGAACACTAAGTAGCTCAATGGAGTTAAAGAATTCAGTTGAGTTCTGAATAGTATCAGACGTGTCAATTGACGTTTATAACCGAACCTCCCCCAGGAAGCTGTTGCAACAGCTTTGACTTAATTTCTTCGACTTCATAATTCTTTAGAGCAAAATAACTTGCTCCCATAAAAATTGGTAGTTCCTTTGTTTGGGGGCTTTTTTTCCTTTTCACATTTAAAACAACTAAAAAATCAAGTTTACTCCTGAAAAATTTGTGAACAGCACAATCTATTCTGTCTAATTTACCCCGGCTACCAATTTACCTACAAGAATGTAATTGACTGCAATAGTTCATGAAGATCCCTAATTCTCCCTCCAATGATTTCCGGTGACATTGGAGGTCGAATTGAACCTTTTCCGTTCTACCCTTTCACTATGTCAAAAAACATTTTTAGTCCATTGCAAACACAGTATCATTTTGCTAGAAATCATTCCTTTTATGTATAAATTGTATGCTCTTTGGTGACTCCGTAAATAGCCTTTAAAGTCAACCTCACATAGCCTATGTGACAGCTGGATCTCTTGTGAGTATGCATGCCAAAATTTAGAACAGTGGGGACTTGTTATTTGAGCATGATCGTAACGCGGACACAAAAACAGAAGCATTCAATGATCGTACACACTGATAACGATTTAGACGTCACAGCAATCTGAAAATTTAATATAAAAGTACATGTTCATATATATCCACATGTGTGACTGTTACATACTTCCTGTGGTATTTTATGTAACTTTTTTACCTGTGATACTCGATTCTTCCTACAGTCGATTTTAGGTCGTATTCAGAAACTTCTTACTTCTAGTGCATCTAATTTTGATATCAAGAGAAATATTATCATAGTTATTATTCTTTGTGTTAATAAACAGTAGTAAATTATCCTTTCGACAGCGTCGATTTGTGTTTTGTATTAAGAAAAGCACAAGAAATACCTGAATCCCGATGGCTGAAGATCAGTTTCCAAGAACATCGCCTTCTTTTACTCGACCACAGCCTGATGTTTGCAGCAAAAACATAGGAAACGATTCTTTTGCCATTGGGCTATCAAATAAATAGTTCTTCCTCTTCTACGTATTTCTCTCCTCCTTTCAACTACAATTTTTATCCTACCAATGAATGTTTTTTTACAAGTTCACAAATTTCAGTTGTTGGTTGATTTTGTTTAGAGGCATATTAACCTCTATGGGTGATTTAATGCTGAAATCTAAATGTTTTGTACGTAATTTCATGCTTTCAAGTACAGATATTTTGTACATAGCTTTACTCTGAAAGTATAATTTATATCTTTTAGATGTATAGTTTGTAGACCATAAAATGCATTGTTAGTAATGTTACTATAAAAATGCACTTTTGTTTTTTTTCTAGAGTTGCATTTATTGTCATTTTGATATAAAATGTATTGTTGGTCATTTTATTATAATAATACGCTGTTGATTTTTGTTTGGAGGTTTACTATTTGCCCATAACTAGGACCCTAACAGGTACTATCACTCCAAATGTTAGTTGTCGAGGTTTGAAAGAAGTATTTAATTTTAACATGGTCGTGGTTAAGGTGACACAATGGAATAGCAAAATTGGCCGAATGCTTGATTTACACTTACTCTGTAGTAATACTGTTGGAAATGGGATGAATCCATATCTCACAAGAGATCAAAGATTAGTTACTGCTGCTATCCCAGTAGACGTCGTAAGTTAGGGAAATCTTTCTGTCGTCGAAAGAAACGCCGTACAATATCCAGCATGTTACATGAATAAGATAAAATAATCAAGTTATTTCAACTTGGATAATTCTTCTTCTATGCACGGTGTCCATTCAGGACGTTGGCGATCATGGTTTTCCACAATTTCTGGTCCTTTGTAACTCTTAATAAATTTTGTCATCTCTCCCAAATCTTGCTCCTTTGTCAATTTGTTTAAGCTCGCTAGGTAACTTATGCATTGTTTTCCTCTGTCCCCTCTTGTCTTCGATCTATCCTGTGAGTATCAAATTATCCAAGCCCTCTTTCTCATTATGTGTCCTAGAAATATCAACTGTCTCTTTTTGGTGTTAAGTATAAGTGTCCTTCTTGTTTCTATTGTCTTTAGAACTTCGTTGCTCACGTGTTCGGCCCATGGTATTTTCAGCGTCTTTCTGTAGAACCAAGTCTCCTCTTCATAAGTGTGGAGATTGTCCAGCATACACTACTGTATGTAAGGACTGATATTGCATCTCAGTTTAGTACTCTTTTCTTTGTTTTTTTACCTAATTATGATATCTAAATCAAATCTGGGGCGTATTTACAAGACGATAAATTGTATAAATACATTATTTGTTTCTGGACAAGGGAGGAGATTCTATGTCACGTTTTTGTCCTGTCTGACTTAGGATGTGTAAAGCAGATTGTAGTTAATACTTTCTATGTATTTTTTGTCAAATGCGATTTCCTTTAGTTTCAGTTTATGACTTAGTCTTCATCTTAAAATTTAGAAAATCATACAAACCTCAAAGTTAAACAAAGAATTTTTAGTTTGTCTGAGCTTTGAATTCATCTTAAAATTTGGTAATTTTTGTTCAAAATAAGGGTGAATCTCAACACTAATCACTTGTTTTGGTTAAATGTTTTTCAACAAAAAACTCTTTCTTTAATCAGTTGATGACAAAACTTAGAAATAGAAATGGGATAAGAAGATCAAAGTGCTTTCAATAAAAAAAATTACTCAAAGTAAATAACTTACTTATTTTTGTCTTTGTTTTATTATTTTATTTATTTATTTATTTTTTGCATATTTTAATATTCTAGTCTCTTTCTAAAATTGGCATGTCAGAAAAAAGCTATCCATTTTCAAAACATTTTAGTATTAAAAAACATACCCGCAAAACTAAAATTTACAGTGGGTATCCTTATTCACAGTATACAATGACGATTTTTAGTTTCGTTTTATATTTCTCGATAAAGCGGACTTTATTCTTCGAGGTAGGTAGTTTTGCCTCTAACACAAATGTAACATCGGGTGAGGATCGAACACACAATTTCGAGACGAGGAATTAAGTCTAAAAAGTACAAAGAATAGCGAGATGCGTCAAAAATAAAAAAAAAAAAAAAACTATTCAGCCCGGACGTTA